GGCAAAACACTGCTGTACAGAAAACTAACTAACACTACCTCTCTCTCCCGATTAGACTGCGGCTTTGGCGCCCACCGAAAGTGCTCCGAGCTGGTGCCCAGTGACTGCTGGTAAGCGTCTGCTCTAATCAAATCAGCCCAATATCTAAGTTATCCCATTTTATTTCCCTCCTAGTCCCTCACTGTCGCACATCCGGCGCATCTTCGGCATCGACCTGACGACCTTCGTCAAGGCGAGTAACTGCCTGCGTCCCTTCATCGTCGACCTGCTGGTGGGCGAGGTGGAGCGCCGAGGGATGACCGTGGAGGGCATCTACCGCGCCTGCGGCTCCTCGGACGCCATCGACGCCCTGCGGGAGCGCTTCGAGGCCCACTGGGAGCAGGCCGATGGGTACCTGCGCTCAGTGGAGGACGTGCACGTCATCACCGGCCTGCTCAAGCTCTACCTCCGCCTGCTGCCCCTGCCGCTGATCACCTTCGAGGCCTATCCGATGTACATCGAGGCCATCAGTAAGGAGAGATGGAAAGTAGGCAAAAGTACCACAACAGCTAACTATCCTTCCAATCACTACAGAAAAGTCGAACCAGGACCAGTCGCTGTCGGCGCTGCGAGATGCCACAGCCAAGCTGCCGCCCGCCCACTACCAGACGCTCAAGTACCTGGTGACCCATCTCAATCGGTAAATACAAGCCCACCAAACTCAATCACAGCCCAATTGGTACTTACCATGTTTGTTTTCCAGTGTCTCCAGCCAAGAACATCGCAACCTAATGTCCGCAAAAAATCTCTCGCTGATCTTCGGGCAGACGCTGCTGTACACGCCCAACATTCCGATGATGTTCCAGTACAACTGCTGGGAGCTGGAGGCGAAGGTCGTCGAGACGCTCATTGCCTGTCATAGTAAAATTTTCATTAAATGAGCCCATATAGTTGAACTGCTGTAACATACAAACTACTGTGCTTTTGTACCTGTTTGGGCGATGATTATTGGCGCTGCCTGTATCTGTCTGTCTGGCAATTCCATTGCTGACAAATGTCCTCCCAAATTACCTTCTCCTTGATTTCCTCCTTCTCCTCCTGTTTGCGCGCCTCGATGTGCTCCATTAGTCGCTTCTCTGGGTACTGTCTACAAAAAAAAGAATAGGCAGTGTTATCAGCAGGCCATTGAAAGCAGCAAGAGCAGCAGTAGAAACAGCTCAGTACGATTGAGCTCGTTCTCTTTTCGTTTTTATTACGGCTTCATCCTTTATCATTTAGCACCTACTTCTCCCCCACTCTCACTGTCTCAATCTGCTATGGCCATTTGCCCTTTTATTAGTAGCTCTTTTGCAGATGATGGCCGCCATTTAGCAGTGAACGGAACGAACCTTTCCTTCGATTGACAATGGCCAAGGGAAGAAGGGAAAATGAAAGAGAAAGGGAAAGGGAAACCAAACGTCTGCACCAGCAGCAGCAGCAGCAGCTATTGGTGTCCGATCAAAGAGTATTTCAGCAGAAGGGAAGCAGGCAGCCCTTTGATTTGTTTTTATTGCCGGCAATAGAACTGCAGCAGCAGCTAAATAAAGGGAGGCAGTAAAGCTCGGGTCCAGCTAGTCGCCCATAAACGGGCGGCTGTTCAGACACTTTGCCGTCAGTTCACCCCCAGTCAGGCAGGCATTCTCTGGTGTTCATTTGCTTATTGGCAGTGCCCCACTCAACGGCAACAGCAGAACGAGTCTCCCCGTTGGCCTTTTAGCAGCAGCAGCAGAACTCGCACACATAATATCGATTCTCGTAAAAGCTTTTCTTTTTCTTCTTCTTTATTCTTTATTCGCTGTCAGGGTGTGAGCTCACAGCTCGCACTAAACGGGCAAATGGAGGGAGAGAGCACCTGTGCAGTGTCGTTTCACACTGTTTGACTTTGCCACCTTGCCGCCTAGCGAACGGATTTCGCAGCCCTGGCTCAACTGAGTTAACCTTCTCCCTCCTCCCATTGCCGATGCCCATTAGCCCGTATGCTGCTTTTCATACTCACACTCTCACTCTTTCTAAAACTAGTCAACGAATAAATTAACATTCCGCAAGACGACACTGCACAGTGCACACACACACAGCCCAGACAGACAGACGGCAACAAAATATTTGTGTTCTCTCTAAAGTATTTGAGAAGGAAGATGAAAAGTTTGGTTGGGAAAAGATGTGAATTCGGCGGCACTGTTTAGCCCCCCTCTTCAGTCCATCTTCATTCCTTCTTTTTTCTACTCGATCATCAGGCAAAGTGCTGCTGCTGCTGCTGGCCAGTGCTGCTGCAGATCTAATGGAATGGCAGTGTGCACTGCACAACGACGGCAGTAAAGGCCTAAATTTAATAATAACAAGATAGGAAGGGGCAGGCAACCGAGTTGAGCAGCCGAGATTGGACAGCTGCCGGAGAGCTGGAACTGCAACAGTGGGAACAGTGGGACACTCTACACTCTCTGCAGGTGACACAATCAAGGTGATTGCTTGCCTGCCAGGAGGACCGGCCAAGTCGATCATCGGCGCCTCGGTAGTCTAACCCTAGCCACCAAAGCCGCCGCCGCTGC